GGCCCCCAAAATTGAGTGGCAAAAATGCAAGAGGGAAGGACAATAAAAACCTCACTTCAAGGGAGACCACAGGCATCAGAATAAAAGAAGGAAAACACCACAGCTGAGAAAGCCCGCCTCACATTTGCCCACCAGATGTTAAACTTTTGACTATATCATCTTCTTGCCTTTATTTTTCTTCTCCTTTACCTAAGGTGGGCAGAGGAGGAGGTGATGAACTTACAGCAGGAAGATGGTTGAAGTTAAAGGTGTCCGAGAGATGATTTCATTGAATACTAGACAGTGAAGCCATTTAACAGCCTAACTATATTAGTACACAGTAATAAAAACATACAAAAACTCCTAAAGAGTAAGGTTAATGGGTTTGTTAAAACAGCAAATGACAAAGAAATCTGGTAAGTAAATATAAAGAATAAAGGGCCGGTGTTATAAGCCAATATGGCCCCATATTTTGTATACCATAGACTTATAAATACAAGGGCACAATCTATTTAAACTAGTATGGAGAAATACAACAGATATTTTGTGAGTCTAAACTGATACCATCTAAAATTTGACAAGGTAGTTGATTTACTACCTCATGAATGAAAAGGAAAAAACAGGGGAAACTGGGGATCTGCTTTTGACTGTAATTTATCAGGAGTCAAAATGAGTATAGACGGAAGTATTTTTGAAATATGAAAATATCTTTTAAAATATTGTTATGCATTGCTTTAGATGGAGGTGGTAGTGGAAATATTACCCAATACTGCGTTCAGTTGTGTGGTATTCTGAAAGACAATCTCTCTGGTGCCAAATAAGACATGAAAAAAAACTTAACTAAAAATGAGAATTGGGTGGTGATTTTAAAGGAATTTAGTAATAAATTCCTTTATTTCAAACCTAAATAATTAAATGTGAACATCTTTCCCATGGAAAGAATAACAGTGCCGTTTTCTGTTACCTGAAGCATAAATTCAGATGTTAAGATACACACGTTATCAGTCATTTGACAAATACTTCCTGAGCCTATTGTGGTCTGGCCTTGGAGACACAGAAATGAATAAGCAACGTACCTTCTTCAATAGCTCATAATCGGGCAACAGTAGTAAATGGCTTAACCTTATCTGGGGAAAAAGAACCAAAGACAGAGTGAACTCTTTTGAGAAAAAGTGTGATTCATTTGTGAGGCAGGAAGACAAACACCAATAAATTCTCCAAACAGGAGGGAAATTGCTCGGATTTAGGACTAAGAGCAGAGTTGTTGCTTAGATTCTGACCTACAGGGTCATGGACATCGTCGCCGTCAGATATGTGCCCTGTGAGTGGGACAGGCAGCCCACACGTGAATCCACAGCATGAAAGTGGTCTTTAAAAAGTATATCAGGAATAATTTCCTGACTCAAGAAGTAGTTCAACCAAAAAAGATGCTGTATCAGATCGAATGCTTGCTGACAGGGGGAAACTCACTCAAAATGTGAAGATAATAGGAAACTTCGTGACAGGGCCCATTAGCCCCTCAGATTTGGCATAATAATAGCCAAGTCCACAGGCTGGGGAGTTTTCCGCAGCATTATACTTTAACACGGAAAATTGGTAAAATTGGGAAATCCAGAGAGAATTGTCTTCTTGACAAAATTTTTTAAAAGCTTACAGGCTTATTAAATATAAATAACTCCCAAAAAAGACAACCGTAAGTGACAAAGGATGGATATGTGACTTCATGGGAAACAGATTCAAGTGAATACTTTAATGAAGTACTTCTAAACAGAAGGAAAACAAAGCAAAAGCTAAACGACCCTCTTCAGACTTCAGACACGGAGAGCCAAAAAGGAAATCAAAGACGGTCCAGGTCAATTTGGTCATTTTAAAAGAACTGACATCCAAAGAGGCTGACCGGTCCGTCAGGGTCACACTGCTGGTTAGCAAATTCAGGCTGTGACACCGGTTCTCTGGGACAGCCTGTCCAGTGTTCTGATACTAACACCACCAGAGCCTTGTCCTTGATCTGCTGAAGACAAGGAGCCTCAGCCGATGTGACTTGGCAGGACACCCAACTCTGTGACCAGGGAAGAGACCAGCCACCTGTATTTCTATGTTCAAAATTCACTCCCCTACTCCCCGTTCTGCAGACAAGTCCCCAACAATGAACAGCTTTAAATGTTCTTACTACCGTTTTGCATAAATGAATAAACCAATCATTAAATAGGTAAATCTTTATTTGATGAACTATATAATAACAAAGTCTAAATAAGAACCTCACAATTCTAATACTAGCTATGCCTTCCAGTGCATTTTTTTTTGTTTCAGAAAAATATAAAACCCAACAGCTGAAAAGAATCTGTTTTCTCATATAGCGAAGGTACTTATATACCATCTTTTAAGAAATTGTAAATTCTGCCCGCTCTCCCCCTCCCCCCATCCTCTCTCTCCTCCTGTCCTCCACTCCCCACGGCTCCCAACATAGTCACTCAACTTGCAAGGCAAACAGGGCATGAAATAGTGAGACCTCAGGGGGAAGAGCTTTTTCTTTCTCGTCTCACGACAGATACGTGAATTTCCTGAGTTATGAATTAAACCTCTAGAGATATAAATAGAACCGTGAAGAGCAGCTATGAGATATGACATCCTCTTCCACTCACTCAGGAAGGACTTCATAACTCACTGGAGGCTGGCGCGTTCCATTTAATACATGGAACAAAGACTTGAGAAGAATGTCAATAGCTCCCTTTGCCTACAGAGTTTTAAAAAGTACCACATGGGAATATGAAGGATTAATTCCAAGGTTCCTGAGCTTAGACAGATAAACACATAGAACAAGCACCAAGGTACACAAAGGCCAAAGTCAAAGGTACACATTCTAGCTAAATATTCTATCCCTGCACAATGCACGTTTACATTTTGAACATGTCATATAGAGCATTCAGTTATATTTAAAAATGTTTTAAATCTAGCTTTTATAACATTTGACTGTCCCATAGCCGTATCTTTCCCTAACATAAGAAGGCTCAAAGGAAATATTTATGGCAAATATTCTGGGTTCCAAGTGCTTCTTCAGATTGCCTGGACTAAGGATGTAGAGAAATAGCAGGACTCAGTGGAGTATCAGCACCAAAACTGTTGTCTCCAGGAAAAGGGAAAAGAAGCCATCAATCATCTTTCACTCCGCTAAGTAAGTATATCTACATTGCAGAATGCGGACGCTTCCATCACTCCTGTGTCACTTGGCTTTGTCATATTACAGTTTCTTGTCATATTGCAATTTATACATTAGGAACTGTACCCTAGTAATCTGGAAGAGTTAGTATGCTTCCAAGACTCATGGCTTACAGATTTAATGGCACAAGTATTAGGAGGTGCAGATTTATTTTCACTATATTCCCTTTGTCTCTTCTTCCTTAGATAATACATTTTCTTACTCCGAGAGCCATTTTTTCTCTCTCTCTCTCTCTGAAGTTTATATTAAACCAATCAGTATTTTTAAAATGGCATTTCTTTTTGTGTGCATAAAACATTACAAGGTTCACATGAGTGAACCATTTAAAAAGTGTCTTAAAATTAAAGGGTAGGTGATTTTGATGATAACCTGATTCATTCAAACTGTACTTCACATGTACGTAATAGCTCTCACATTCAATTTTATTTCTCAAAATTGACATTGGGTACGTTAAATAGATTAGCTAGATGCATTGAAATAAAGGATAAAGGTCTGGTCAACTTTCAGGTGAAAAAGTATATGTGAGGAGGAACCTTTGAGGATACATTAGATATTTGAGGATAACTTACCAAGTGTTTTTATGGTGCATGGCTGGTCTAGCTGTCAGGGTAGCCCCTGCACTGTCTGATGCACATCCCTCCTGATAATTACATCCTTAATAACATCTAAAATATGTCATTTTGTCAGAGGCTGAGAAGTAGTTGCTGTTCTCTGGTTTAATCCTTCTACACTATTGTAATAAATACGGTTAATCCTATACTAATAAATACAGTTAATTGGTTTTTGGTTGCTATATTCTATTTTGAGTTCTTTGAGTCAAAACATTGCCCGACTTTCTCTATCCCCTATTATTAGTGACTTCCTGCAGAGAAAAACTGTGAAGACTTTAGGAGTTATGAACTTGTAAGCCTTTGAAGTCTGGTATCACTCACTAATCTGATTATCGCGCCATCTTTGTCACTGTTGAAATGTCCAACATAGCAAGGCTAGAAAAATATTAAGGTTTAATCTATTGTTACACCAACTTGTTAATTAATGGGTTTTTAGTAACAGCATGACCTAGTAATTAAGAGCAAAGCTCTTAGGATTAACACTGCATTTAAATTCTGGACCTGCTCTCTGTCAGGTAGTGACCTTGAGCAATTTCTTCACAGCACACACCAGAAAGCAAGGTAAGGTAAGGCGTATGAGGCCTTTGGAATACTGCCTGTCACTGTAATAGTCACTACTATTATTATTACTACTGGTAACATAATTTATATCATCACTCAAAGATCAGTTCCATAATTTACAGATACATACTATCACATATTGTGTAACTGTATCAGATGTCTCAAAGTCATCCTTTAACACATTGTTTGGTGCTTTGTTGAAATTCAAACATTGTACTTTAAGTAACACAACATATAGATACACACCCAGGAGTGTACAAATGTGCGTAGAATTTTTCCTCTTGAATCCATATACATACTTTAACAACTTTGAGCTCTATAATTAGAAATTCAAACTAATGAAGACCTTCACATTTCTTATACTTACTCCTTCTTCAAATGTGTCTTATTTAAGATAATACAAAATCCAACAGCTAAAAGGAATCTGTTTTGCTTTACAGCCAAGGTGTTTATTTATCTGTTGGATGCAATTGTCGCCCTCCCCACCTGCTGACTCCCATAATTACCAGTATTTGATGAGAGCTCACCAGGATTCTGTGGGAACGCTGCCCAGGTTCAGTACTGAGTCCACAGGAAATTAAAATCTATGTTCATATGAAATTAACATAAGTTTCCAAAACGGAGGTACATACCTGCATTCAAAAAAGGTAAGTTATCTTTTCTGCTCACACTTTCTGGAGCTGGACATTCACATACCAGGGCACACTAGGAAGGAACAGAAGAAAAAAGAAAAAAAATGTTTTCGGAGCTAACTAAATAGAAAGTGAAATTCTTTTGTTTTGCTTGTGAAACCCGAGGCTGTGCACATGCTTTCAAAAAGGCTGAACCAGACACTTTGGTAAAACTACTTTCAGCTTTATTTTTACTCTGAACCCTGTTTAACTCGTGATCATTGACTTACACATATATAATATAGTTTATATTATGATATCATAGACTACATTTCAGTTTGAGTTAAAGACTACTCAGGAAAGAGAGTGAAAAGTGGAAAAAGACTGTATCCAATATGCTAGAGATGTGTTCCCACAACAATAAATCACGTATAACAAGCCGAACGGCTTTCTATTTCTGTCACCTGGGTTGATTTCGGATCAATAAAAAGCAAATTATTTTCTAGCTTTTAAGTAAAAACAACTTTAAATAAAAGATAAAATCTGTTGTAGCATCTAATTTCACAAGGCAAAAGGAGATTTTTGTCTCTGGCCAAATAATACAAACGCTTGCTCATAAAGTATGAGGACGTTTTATAAATCATCTGATGTCTGATTTATAAATAAGCAGTTTATAAATAGGCTGATCCTGAGATCTTGGATCTATTAATCTATGATTAATAGATTAAGCTTCATGGGTCTTTACAGAACTGACACTCCTCTGGACTGGAAAGAGGAGACACAGAGAGCACGTTGCTGTGTTCTTAGGGTGTGAACCAGGAGTGGGAGACAGTATCTCAGATAATCCATTCCTAAGCATGGGACTCTGCTTCAGCTTCCAGAGGAAGCAAAACTTTTCTGGCCCCACCCAGGAGTTTGTCAAGAGACCTGTATTCACACACAGAGAGACCAGTATTTATTTCTTCAAGTGAGTTTCCTTCTATCTCCAGCTCAAAAGGAAGGAAGGAAGGAAGGAAGGAAGGAAGGAAGGAAGGAAGGAAGGAAGGAGGAAAGAAGAAGAA